AAAATGGGGAGGGGGGGGGGGGACACTCATAAAAACAGAAAAATCATACACACAAAAATCCCCAATCAAAACCCAATACCGTAAAAGAAACTTGTCTCCTTTGAAGATGCGCCGCGAACAGCCACCCACCGCCGCTGGAACCTTTGTGGGCCGGAGAACGCCATTTCCGTCTATGAAACCCTCCGTCATCGAACCATCGCCTAGCCGCAATCATCAAGCTTTATTTATTTATTTTTTCTTTCTGACGTGTTTGAGTTTTTTTGTTGTTTGTTAGTTTCAAAACATAAGAAACTAGGTCGATGAGAAGAACGAAGACAGAAGGAGACAACGAGAGGAGAAATGAAGAAACGCGCAGGGAAAAGTGAAGGAGAATCGAAGGAGGGAAAAGGTGAGCGAATAGCAACGGCGGAGCAGATTTGATGGAGAGAAGATGATCTCCGATTGAGGGTTTTGGGGGGGGGGGGGGAATTTAGGGTTTTTTTTCGTGTTGTTATTTTATTTATTTTATTTTGTTTACTGATGTAATAATGACATTATTCACACACACCACTAATCACACTAACCACACACCCTAATCATTCATAAGTCACCCTAGTTAACCGTTAACCTCACCATTTAACCCCTTATTCTTTAATCAACCCTAATCAACTTTTTAATTAAAATGTTTTTTTAATTAATTAATAAAATATTTAAATTATTTTCTAAACAAGTTTTTTTATCTAACTCAAATTTCTGCCTTTTTATTTTTAATAAAAAAAAATATAAATAACTTTTATTTAATTGAATTCTTTTAATTTAAAATAAATAACTTAAGTTTATAAGTGGTTAAGATCTTTTAATAAAACATCTTTTATAATCAAAAATCAACTTATTTAATAAGCACCCCTTTCATTATTTTCAAAACCTATTGTGTAACCTTAAATTAACTAAAAAAATATAATTCAATCCACTTTCACAAATAATATAACTTCTAAGTAACTTTCTTAAAATCAACTCGCTCAAAACAACATTTTATTCAAAACGAAATCAATTTTCTCATAAGCCAATTCAACTTCTCCCTTTAAATCAATCAATCCTACAATTAAAATCAACCAACCGCGTAAACATACAAATCAATCATGCACTCACGACACATGCACCTACACTTAGCGCTTTCATGCGTATGTATGCTTTATTCTTATCTGCTCTTATTTATCCACAAAGCACACACTCACCTAGCGCTTTCATGCGTTCGTGTATGCCTTTACTTATCCGCAATTTCTTTATTTACCGCAATTTATATCTATCATCATTGCACCGCATCGCATTCCGTCCAAAGGAAAAACATACGCATGAGTCAACACTTGTGTGTAGTGCACATCATTTGCATCATTCTCCCACATGATCCTTGATCCCATTCAAGTTGATCTTTTAGGACAGATCCTTTCCCATAGGAGGACCTTTGTCTTTATTTTACAACATAGAAACAAACAACAAAACAATACAACAATATTCAAACATTAGAGAATGAGATGTTAATCATCTTAAGCGAGATAGAATCTCCACCCCACATCAATACAATCAACACGTAGAAACTTTGCCTTAAGAGAGATAAAGGCGTACCTCGTCGATCCATATCCGAGTACTTGAGCCCTTCTCTTAAGACGATGCAAAGACTGTTTTCCTACAACTTGTGGCGGTTAAATCTCTCTTAAAATGATGACCCATCTCTTCTCCTAAAATCAATCAACCAACTACCCTAAACCCGTAGGAACTTTGACCACAGTCAAAGAACTCCTCCAACCCTTTAGAGGAACTACAAAATACTCTGATTCCACTCCCATAAGGATATGTAGGCATAAGATGCGATATCTTATCGAGTATACTTAGAAATAAACCCTTAGGTCTTTTATACCTTAAGCAGATAACCATAGCAATAAACAAACATAAAACAAGAGGTTCCTGTAGAGTACTACAGAAACTTAGGATGCTAGTACCTTCCCTAAGTTTAACCAACCCCTGAACCTATAAACTCTCTAGCTTGCATTTGCATTGCATTGTGGGTATTTCGGTCTTTATCCCTTCCTTTGGAAAAATCAAAGTTCGGTTGCAAAATGAATTAGAGATTCAAACTAATCAATAGTTTGGTATTCGATTTTCACCGCGACAATCCCCCACGGAAAGGTAGCAGGAATCCTATTTGGACCAGGCTGAGAGCTTGGTAGGTTGAATAACATTCTCAACCGGCGCTTCAACAACAACAGGAGAAGCAGTAACAACAAGAGCAAAAGTCATTATAGGAGTGACAACAGTTGCATCAGTAATGGTTGCAACAACAGCTGCGGCAGCAGCGTCATTCTGACCATGAAGGAACTCCATGATAACATCTATGTTAGTCTAGAACTGATCCATCCTACCTTAAAATTGAGTCAAGGTTTCCTTGTAGGAAACATTCTCTTGTTCGTAGTCAGCCATGTCTTAGACTTTCTTGATCGAGTGAAATAGCAATGTCGAGTCGTCGTTTTGCTACACGGCAGAAATGAACGGTGTAAGCATTTAGTTTTCTGGATGAGGGACATGCATATGTGTGCCTGAATGAATGCAATGCATGCAAAAATAAAGTTTTAATTTCAGGAGTTTGTGAGCTCTTATCTTTGTTAACAATAATTATAAAGCATATAAGTAAAAGCGCAAATATAAGACTAGCAAGAAAACTCTTCATTCATTCAATAAAGGAAAAGAAGTACAAGTCAAATACAACTCAGAGATTTGCAAGATCAGCCTGGATCCTATCAAAAACCATCCTACAAACAGATAAGAAATGAAAAACATCCCAAGGAGTCTTGTGCGGAAACACATCAACATATACATGCTTCAGCAACCCTGGAAAATCTTCAAGTGCGTGCTCGGAAAATCTGGCTAGACGGTTGTGTCTCTCACTCCAATACTTCGCATCTTTCATGAGGTTACACAGAAAAGAATGATTAAGTCCCTGAAGAAGATCTTGTAGGAAAGCCTCTTTCTAATTCAAGAGGACTTGCAAATGGTGGCTTTGACGTTCCCACTGAGTACTCTCTCAAGTTAATTTGATTGTTTTCCTCTCGGTTCTGATGCGTGTAATCTTGTAGCTTCTGAATATCACTGAAAACTTTGTCAAGCTTGGCTTGATATTGAGAAAGTTCTTTCACCAACTGGTCAGCACGGTTTTGTTCACTCTGCAGCTTTGTCTTGTACTCTGATAGCTTTCCTCAGAGCTCTCCAAGTTGCTTTTTGTAGCTCAATTCATTTTTGTAGGCTTGATATTGAGTGTCAGCAAGCTGTCTCTTCTTTGAATCTAGTCCATCATAAGTACCCTTCAGAGCATCACCTACTTGCCTCTGCTTGTTCTGCTCAGTTTCCACCTCTTTGAGAGTGAACTCTCTCTTCTGGCGAAGATCAATTTGTAAGTTATCCTTCTCAGATGTGACTTTGTCAAGGTTGAAACGAAGATCAGCATTCTCCTTCTTCAACATCTCAATAGTCTGCTTAAGTTGGTCAATTTCATATGGAAGGAACAATGGAAAGTTCAGGAAGCTTGGAATTCATGGAAGGCTCATAAGGAAACGGCAGCAGGATCACTTGGACTCGTTCCTTAACCCATTGTGTGTAGGCTTCTTTTGTTATGCAGTTCTTCTTACCCAACTCAACTTTTCCTTCACGGCGCATCTGTGTCCAGGCAGCATTGAACCTCTTCAATAATCCCATATCATCAACCCCTTCATGAAAGATGAAGTCTTCCACTACCTCAGGCTCTGGCTTGTCAAGCATAGGATACCCTAATTGACGGAAGGCGAGTCTCGGATTATAGTTAATTTCTCCCTTTGTACCTATGAGTGGCACATTGGAGAATTTACCATAATTATTAATGATTCTGATGTTGTCGTAGACTCGAGAATACTAAGAGATGTCGTCAGTAGTCAAAGACATGATCCTTTGAGACCATTTGAGATTTCCTTTGTTCTCAACAAAGGGACCCTTCTGCAATAAGTGGGACATGAACCAATGATACAACATATGAGCGCAACAGACAATAGTTCATTTCTTCTTTTCATTTCTCAAAGATACTGATGGCAGCTTGATCCACAAAGTCCTCCATGTTTGGAAACAAAATGATCCCATACACGAGCAAAGAAAACACAGCGTTGAAAGCCTTCCAACTTCCAGCCTCAGCAAAAGAAATGACCTTGTCTACCAGAAACTTCAGAGCAAACCCTCAAATACCACCATCTTTAGTCTTGAGATTAGCTTCCACATCCTTCTTACTAATGCAAAGAGCTTTAGTAATAAGAGGAGATTTTAGACAACTGTTGGTGTAGACGAAGAGAACTTGATTCTTGATCTCAACCCCTAAAATATGAGAATACTCCTCAAGTGTAGGTACTAGATGATAATCTTGAAACGTGAAACACCTTAGTGGCGGGTCATAGAACTGAACAAGTTTATCGATTCTGTTTTTAACTAAATTATATGTTATTTTTAATTTTAATAATTGTGTTTTGTTATAATTTTATTTTTATTTTATATTATAAAACAGAAGAAAAAAAATTTTAAATTTTTTCCATTACTTAGTTGTAGATATAAATTAATTTAGAGTTAGTTTTTGTTATTAATGTTATAATTAGTATTAATGTTTAAAATATATTTATCTTTCTTATTATTATATAATTTGTTATAATTAGTATTAACGTTAAAAATATATTTATCTTTCTTAATATTATATAACTAGTATTAATGTTAGTGATTAGTATTGATGTTAGTAATTTTGTTATTTTTTAAAGTGTCTATTAGATAATTATGAGTGATTCATATAATATTTGATATTTTTTAGTTAGTATTTATTACATATCAGCTAGTTAGTTGATATAATTGACTTAAATATTTGAATGGGTCAATTGATTGATTTTTTTTTTTTTTTTGCGATTATAATGGCAACGATGTTGTAAATGTGCAGGATAGAATATTATAAGTATTATCGTAGTTTGATGTATGATCCATTGTATCTTGGAAGATGCAGACTTAAACCATATTTTGTAGAAGTTAAAGGGTTTATTGCATTCGCATTTGCATTTGCTCAAGAATGTTGTCGAAGAGAAGGAGGAGTAAGATGTTTGTGTCTTAAATATAGATATAGATGTATAATTAGTTATCTAGAAGAAGTAGAAAATCGTTTGAAGAGGAAGAGTTTTAGGAAAGATTATTGGATTTGGACTTCAAATGAAGAAAAACTTCTGAGTAATGTACCAGAGACTCGTAATACACAACAGGGTTCAACCAGTCGATCACATATGAAATATGAAGGACAATTTAATCTAATCAATGACATGGTTGTCGATGTTCTTGGGGGTAAATGTGATATATGATGAACAACAAGATTTTGATGAGGAAGAGTTGTCGAATGAGGAAGCGCATAAATTTTATCAATTGTTGAAAGAAATGAATACACCATTGTTTAAGGGTTTGTCGGACTCTAAATTATTAATATGTGTGAGATTGTTGGCCATGAAGTCAAATTGGAATATTCATGATCAGTGTTTAGAATTATTTAGTCAAATGATGTTGGACGCCACTCCTATAAAAGATAACACCACATCCCCTGGGGGATCCCGTATCCCACATCCCCCATATGCACCTTCGTCATCCCATCAGCCTGGAAAATCCCGCACAACACATGTAACTTCACTATCCCATCAGCCTAGGGAATCTTGCACCACACACGTACCTTCATCATTCCATCAAGAGGAGGAGGAAGATGAGGACATTGAGGAGATGGGTATAGCCTCGATGGAAGTTCAGCATAAGAAGGTTGATGGAAGATGGCTTATTGTGCCTGAAGAAAACTCATAAGTTTATTTCTTATATTTTAAGTATTTGTACATGTTATCATTTTTTATATTTAATACTTATTCAAATTTTTGTTGTTTAGTTTCTTGTCGGGTAGGCATGTTGCAGTTGTCATAAAGGAGGTTATTCAGGAGCTATATAAACATTTTTGGAAGACTTTTGGAGAACTTTAGACGGATAAGAAATTGTAAAAACTTGGTTTGACAAATTTTAGGTATAACTTTTTAATTTTAAGTAATATTTTTTTAATTACTATCTTATTTTAATTATCTAATAATTTTTTTCAATGTTTCAGAAGAAATACACATGGAGCGTAATAGATGAAGCGAAGATTGAACGAAATTTTTGGAAGAGATCATCTACCTGGCTTTCTGACATGCTTAGGTGTGCCAGACTTGGTTGGGAACAATACGGGATCCGCCCTTCGTGGATGGGCGAAGATGTATTTAAAGAAATGCTAGCTTATTGGGAATCAAATGAGTTTAAGAAATTTTTTGAAAAAACAAAGCAATGTAGAGCATTTGAAAATGGAGCCCCCAGTCATAGAGCTTGAAGCATTAGCATCTCCAAGCATACTCAACAGATGGTAATTATATTTCTATCTCACTACTTTTATAAATTATATTATTATTTCTCATTTATTTTTAATTAAAGTTAATTGTATTATTAGACTTCTGAGAAGGGAAGAACCCCATTATTGAGCGACCTTCATGAGAGGACTCATAGGGGAGAAACTGAGAGTATGGTGAAGAGCGTGCTCGAAAAACTCAAGTAAGATGATATTAATATTTAAATATATTATTTAAGTCTTTTATTTAATTAAATTGTCTAAACTATATTGTTTTATTTAATTTTTTTTACGTATGAGTAGGAGGAGTATGATAGACGGAAAGGATAATTTATATCTCAATATCCTGAGTTAGTTGTTTTAAGAGGCCAACATACTATTGATCCAGTTGTTGATGTTTATCTTTGGATAGATACAACTGAGGAAAGAAAAATAATGGGAAATTTATGGTACCGAACCTCTTGCGTCAAACTATATAAGAGGTGATAGAACTTTATTTACGAGAATTACAGATGGGGAAGGGTCATCACGTCCCCAGTATTATCCTCTCAAATGGTCGAAACAATTATACAATTAGCTCTAAGTGAGGCAGCAAGTGAAGTAGTGAGACGTGAAGCTGTGCAAAAGGCTGAAATAAAGAAATGAGAAGACGATAATCTGAGTTGTAAAAAGCTTTAAGAGTGTCACAAGAGCAAATGAGAGCTACACAGCAACTAATGCAAGAATATATGCTCTCACAAAGAAATCAAACTTTTGGTTCTATGGGTCAAAATCAAAATTTTAATGGATATAACGGAATTGGCAGATTTGGATAAGTTGTTGGGAAAAGAGAGGAGGTAAATGAAAATGAAGATGAAAATGTGAGTGAAGAGGATTAATTTTTAAGCTTTAACTCTAGTTTTGATTTGTATAATATTTAGATTTTAGACATTTTAATTAACTTTGGATTTAAATATTTTTAATTACTTATAAATTTTAATATTTTTAATTAATTCTACATTTAAATATTTTTATTTATTTTAAATGTTATTAACTACAAACTATTTGTTATTATATTTATGTTATTAAAAATAATAATATAAATATAATAGATTTTTTTTATTTAATCAATTGTTATATGCGAGAGGGGAAATACCCTACAAATGATATATTATAAAAGTTGTTATGTCAATTACACTTTGCTAGTTGCGGCGTGAATATCATTCTGCTATCAACGTCAGACATGCACACTGCCATATGTGTTGGTTACTTGCTTACATACAGTTGCGGCGTGAACTTCACCTAACAATGTTGCAGTGTGAATTTCACCCAGCAATGTTGTGACTAACACTTTCATGGAGTGATTCTTACTTTGTAAATTCTCAGTTTCAGGGTGATATTAAGGGTTGTGGCGTGTTTTTTACTCGGCAAAGTGCATTTTTTTTGTAGTGTTCAAAAATATTTATGGCATTAATATAGATAAAAATTATAACAAAAATTAGTTTCTATATTTTTCATAAAAATGCAATGGCAAACAAATTTATTTGCATATCTCTCCCTTAATAAATAGAGAGTCTTATTTAATTCGATAAAATTGTCTTTTCAAGCTCTAAAATTATGTACCTCACCTAGATTAAATTTTTTAGGAAGCATAGTATAAATGTCACTATTAAGTTAGGCTTAAAAATCAACTATTAACATCACTTATGCGCAAAAATAAGCTCTTCACGTGCTACAAGGCTAACTAAATATTAAAATGTACTTCCATTCATTACAAATAAGTATATCAAATCAAAATTAATCTCACGTCTTTGCGAAAATCCTTGAGCAACAAATCAAACTTTATATATATATATATATATATATATATATATATATATATATATATATGTGTGTGTGTGTGTGTGTGTGTGTGTGTGTGTGTGTGTGTGTGTGTGTGTGTGTGTGTGTGTGTGTGTGTGTGTGTGTGTGTGTGTGTGTGTGTGTGTGTGTGTGTGTGTGTGTGTGTGTGTGTGTGATCTTACCGAATGATCAGAATCTGACATGGGCCAAAGACGAACGCCTGATGCTGGATGTAAAAGAGGAGGACGGGATGCACCTGCAAGGCACTCTGATGCTAAAGTAAGAAAACGAGCAAGAGAGAGAGCAAGTACAGAATATGCGTTTTTAGGTAAGAAATTGGATACCTGACCCTCTCAAGTGAGATGGTTTTTATAGTGCCCATACCGCTTGGTGATTGGTCCCTATTTTCAGGGAGAGATAATCGTTTCCCGAAGAATAGGTAATTGCCAGAAATAGCCGTTGAGACGGGCATACGTGCCCATAACTAGCCGTTGTGATGGGCAGAGACAGAGTTACAGGCACAAGCGTCTTGGTTGTTTCTGGATGGTGAAACTGTGTGTGACGAGCAGAGATGGACGGGGAGAAGTACTGTGACCAAGGGTAAATAGGTTAGCTTCTCCTGTTGAAGGGGCAGAAAGGTAAAACTATTCCTCTACGAGGTTGGACTTAGGCAATTTGGGTCGTTCTGGGAACAGAAGTGGATTGAGCCATGCTTAGCCATTGGGCCAGTCAGGAACAGTAACCCCTCAGTCGTTGCTATCGGGCATGGTAGTGATGACTTAAGGATGGTCTTCTCCTGTGCAGGGTCGTCGCATGTCTCCTTATGTTTGGGTGATCACTTGCTTGTGGTCGTGGGGCCGGGGATATTGAGACCTAGGGAGCCCAACGGTTGATGGGATGTGAAGAGTGGGGATTCCATGTGTGCCTCGAGCCGTGTGTTACATTAAATGCAAGATGATGGCTAGGCTAGGGTCATGATGATTCCCTATGTGCGCATGCTCACGCACGTGCCTGGAGTCTGCTTATAAATAGCGAAGGAGTCTATTCATTCAGAACTTTTACTTCCTTCTTCCATTGTGTTCGTTTCTGCAACCTCCGTCCGCCACCGTCTACTTTGCTCCAACCACTGTACGAGGTTCAACCAGGACCCTATCCTCTTTAGTTCATCTTCCTCGACCACATAAGTACTTCTATCCATTGCTTTATTTTTGTTTTTCTTTATTTAAGCGCTTTAGATTGCATGTGGTTAGGATTGAACATCTTAGTTAAGGTGTATTCAATGGTGGTGCCGGTGGTAGATGGTGGCACGACCATTTGTCCGTCGCCGCCGGTGTAGTCGGCCTCCACTAGGGGGTGTAGGTTACCACCCTTTAGATTCAGGTGATTCATAGTCGCGTTGTTGTTAGGTTACCACGACTTCTGGTGGTTTCCCTGAGAGGCCACTGGGTTTCGTGACCGGGGGCTATCCCCGAATGTCTTAGGTAGAATGGTCGGGGACTTCCCCGCCTGGGTAGCTGCACCATTTGAGTAAGGCTTAGGTCGGGGATGCTCTTCCTTGGTCCTTCGTGCACCCTTTCACTTGACTAGCAGTGGAAGGATGAATTTGATTTGGCCATCGAATTCACTATTTTCCTCTGCTTTTCAGGTAAAAAGGATGTCGCGCAGGAATGAGAAGATCTCTACAAGGATTCATCCGAGGACAGCTCCTTGGAGAGCACAGATACAGATGGCGGTTCTTCGTCACCTGAGATTGTGGGAATATCAACGGTGTTATCACTGGCGGATGAATGGACCGTGGCCGAGCCTATGGAGCACGCGTCCATCTTTGCCTCTTATACCGGGGACACCTTTAGGACAGTGGGACCAGAAGGAGAATGAAGGGTGCATTTCCCTTCTAGAGAAGATCGCATATGCACGGCTTACAGGGAGCGCTTCCCCATGTATGAATATGTCTTTAAGGAGATAGGGTTAAGATTGCTCTTCACCGATTTTCAGTGGGTTGTCTTTTGCCCATCTTGATCTGGCGCCTTCACAGCTGCATCTGAACTCCCTTGCCTTCATGCGAGCATATGAGTTGGTATGCGAGCACCTGCAGATCGGTGCCACCCTTCCACTATTTTTCACCGTTTT